GCAGCCAAAGGATGACCCTATGCTGGGGCTTTCCAAAAGATAATCGACAAAATTAAATTTTGCTTGGACCAAAAAAAAAAAAAAAAACACTTGGAGGACAAAAGATATTAGTCAGAATGAATCGTTAATGCATGGCCAAGCAGGATTTAATGCTGCGAGTAATTATGTGGATGTGCCTATCTATTGTCCTGGTTTAATTTCATCGAAGCATTTATTCTTGTAAGAGGCTGTAATATATTTACTGGCAGGTTGCAGTGGTCATAAATCTAATGCTAAAACAAGATCTAGTTTCACTGAGCTGTCAGCAGACAGGCTTCCTTCAATTAATCAAGAATATTGTTCACAGGCACTTCCAGTGCCACCAACCGTGAGCAAAAACACCACAGGATACACACGGCCATGAAAAGCACATGTACACAGATAGTACACATGGGCCCATCGTCATCCTCATCATAACTAACTAAAGAGGCTGAACAAATTAGAGAGCAGAAGCGATGCATTAGGTCCTGGCCTTTGGCCATGCTAATAAAGGGCAGGACCTGAGCCCTCATTTCCTCTGGGCTGCTTGGTGTTTTGCCCGCAGATGAATCAGATGGGGTAAAATCATTACAGCCAAAATGACACTCCAAGGAGTGTTTTGCTTCGTTCATTCATCAAAGACGAACAAAAGGTGAGAGCATTCGCTTTGTCGGAACCGTGGAAAGACGGACGAAGAAAGAGGGATGTTTTAAATGAGAGCGCAGCTGGCCAGAGAGACATCAGGTCCTCCCTCTTTGCACTCTATATAGTATCTGAGCGAAGATGCAGTTGGAATTTATTTACAAAGACCTGCCAAGCATCTCTCCACCTGCCAAAATAGTGCTCCCGCTGTCACAAGTGTCAATGAAATGGCTCTTTATTTGGCTAAGACTAATTGAGACGCAAGCATCAGATGTGGACCGCGCTCGGGATTCTGTATTGAGTCCGCAGGGCAGATGTACCGCATCTCTCCTCGTCTCCAACATCTCTTTGTCCACTAAATCAATAGCCCTCAGTGATGCACTGCTGACAATAACACCATCCATCCTTTCAAACCGAGCGCTTTCATTATTCCCATTCCCACTTCTATAAGTGCCTGAGCTTTTCAGATGCTTTCCGTAAAATGATTTTCAAGGTAAACCAAAAATAGTCGAGAGCAGGCCCGAGTGCTCATCGTGCTTTGAAAGGACCACAGCTGTGGGGGGGGAAAAAAAAGTTTTTCCGCTTTGGACATAATTAGGTGTGTTTTATTCTAAGTGCTTTAATCTTGGATATCTAATGCAAATCTATTAAACTCTGGCCAAAAGTGCTGTATGTAGCCAGTAGACAATGAACCACCAATTTATCAAAAACTTGTGTTCTCAGAGCTGTGGTTTAGCAGTTAGCGCACAACCTTCAGATATTGAGCTGTATTGCACATGTGGAAAGGTCTGGATGAACCACAATAAACCTTTTAAAAACAAGCCCAGGTCACATTTCCTAACCAAATTCAAAGAGAAAAATAAAAAAGATTATATTTTGCATGAACAAAATAAAGACCGTGTTTAGGACCATTCTGTTTTTTTTTGCAGTGAGACATTATATTCATGACAATTCAGCTCATTTACACCCTCAGATTTCCACATTGAATGTGTAGTTTCCAACGAATATTTTATTTCAGGGAAAAAGTTATTTATGCATTAATGCTGCTCGATGTAACACAATTACAGGCAACCTGAACAACTGGTTTTCCTACTTGAAGTGAAAAGTGAATGGAACACAAATAAACACTACAGTACAAAACGCAAAAAAAAACTTTTTTTTTTTAATTGTGACATTTTGAATTCAAACTAAACATTCCTATTGGTATCACTGTAAAGCAGCTTTTTTTTTAAAGTGAGCATTTCAGAGTAAGCTACAGGGGGTGTGAAGAATGGCGATAAATTCACCAAGAAAAACAAATTTTTATTTAAAGAGAACTGAAATGACTACTAATTAGGGACACACGATATTGGATTTTTGAAGATATCCGATATGCAGATATTTTTCAACTCATTTTGGCCGATGCCGATACCGATAGGTCCTTGTATTTATGTTTTCATAATCTGTTTGAAAAATAAAAAGCATATTACACATTAATGAATATATCTGTACATTTAAAATTATTTAATTTATAAGTGTCATGTTTGATTTTTATTCATGTAAGCTATAGCTTCTGACCTTTAAATCAAAGCATACTCGTGATTACAATATTGGATTTTTGCCGATATCCGATATGAAGATATTTTTCAACTCATTTTGGTCGATAGCCGATGCCGATACCGATATATTTCCTTTTGTTTGGAAACAACACCAGGTCTCTCCTGTGCAGTGATTATAAACAAATTATTTTAACAAAAAAAGAATTTGTTAGTATTAAATAAACAATTAATTAAGTTCTTTTATAATGAGAGTACACTGAAAGTTGAAAATAACTACAAATCAATCACTGCATTTTTTTTCTCAGACAAATGCCGTGATAACCTTAATATTTTATTTGAAGATTTAACATTTTGTAGATGGTCTAAAGCAAAGGAGTTGTAAAAACTCAAAAAAATGTTTTAGAGGTCCTTGTATTTATATTTTCATAATCCGTTTGAAAAAAAAAAAGCATATTACACATTAATGAATATATCTGTACATTTAAAATAATTTAATTTATAAGCGTCATGTTTGATTTTTATTCATGTAAGCTATAGCTTCTGACCTTTAAATCAAAGCATACTCGTGATTTTATGACATTGATTACTGCTTTATTTAATCAGAAACACAATCTTAATGTTATTTGTTTATTTTACTTTCATTTTATCACAAGTAGGCCAACAGCACCCCCTAAGTAAATAAAACATCTTACTGGATGGGCATTAGGACCCGAGAGAGGCTGTTCTGTACGTGCATTCTTAAATTAAATGCAGCGATCCAAAACAGTGAATCTAATCATCATTCAGGCAAATGTTCGCTTCAAGAAGGACCACACTGCTGACCTGATCTTACCACTAGCACATCCTGAGCACATGTGAGTTATTTGTTTTATCGGCAAGGCATATCGGCATAATCTTTCATATCGGTTCATATCTTTCATTTGTTTACATTTTAAGCCATTATTGGCCGTTTCCGATATCGTTCCGATAATATAGTGCATCCCTACTACTAATAAAAGACAAAAAACTCTCACAATTACCCATTTCATCATATGGGAAAAAGAAAAGATGAATCCAATAAATCTGGATTATTATTTTTTTTTGTCAACTGCAGTGCATATATGCAATTTTGATCAGATAAATGCAGCCTTAGGTAGCATAACAGACTATAGTCTTCATAGTAATGTGTGTTGTACTATCACTTTATTTACGCAAACATGCTTTGTGAGTTTCACCCACAGAAGGATAAGAGTAGAAAATGAGTTGAGGACACAAGGCTTCATGAGATACACCCATCCAAAACATTCCCACTAATCCTAAAAAATAAAACTAGCTGCTCAAGGGAAATGTAATGCAACCTAAAATAAGAGAATTCACACCAGCTGCAGGTGTAAATGAGAGCACTACTATTCCATCGGAGCTCATCAAACTCTCCATGTTTAAGAAACTCAATTCACAGAAGGCTTTAAGTTGCCAGACAGAAGACGAGCGAGTGTGTGTGTGTGTGTGTGTGTGTGTGTGTGTGTGTGTGTGTGTGTGTGTGTGTGAGAGAGA